AAGAAAGCGATACGTGTAGAAAATGAAAGGGACCGATACAGACGAGTGCGCCGGAGAAAGCTGTGAAAAACGGAGAAAAAATAAAGAACAAACGTTTTGTGCAAAAAGAAAAGTGGCCATTGAAAATAGAGCAATGCCTCCACACAAAAAAAGCCATGCAATTTTCTCCACAGTGAACATGCTCAAAGCTAAATGTCATCCCAGCTCATGAATGGGCACCTCCACATGTAAGCCCGGGTTAAAAAATAATAATCCTGGAAGGACAAGCTGGAGCTCAATTATTTTAACGAGCAAACAAGTGGGGGAGTTGATTAAAGGAGCGGAAGAAAATGAGCCCCTAAAACTGTTCACAGCCATCACTTGAACGTGCACAGTTATCACGTTTCAATGGTTATAATGTGTGTACGTATAGTTCTATGTTGCTTGACCTCTAAATCCTGGTTGAGTACCCCTGTACTAGTACACCACGTAGCTAACTGTGTTTCCTGTAAAACCGTCTCACACGTTTCTGTTCCCAGCACAGCGTTGGAAAGATAAAGAGGCTCGAAGGGACGTTAACACTGCTTCCTCGCATGCAAATAAACGCAATTGTTACGCTGTGTCTCACTTCGTAATTTTTCTAACAGTAACACCGATTCACGCGTCGCTTTCGGGCACAACTTGAATTACCTGTCCAGCAGAAAGCAGGCCACTTCGGCATCACTCTGAAAACTTTTGTCCCTCTTCAGCGAGGTCCACCTGGAGAAGGCGACGCCTAAGAACACTTTCGTTTCTTCCAGTTTTTCCTCTTCGTGCCCCAGCTTGTTCGACAGCACGTCCTTGATCTTTTCTCCTGAGAAATAATAATTATGATCCTGCATTTTTCCAAATGCGGACACTCAAACTCCCCACGACACCACAAAAAGTTAAGGCACAAGCGACGATTCTTCCATGAGGACGATAAAAACTTTACGACTAGCACATGACCAAAACAGCAGCGTGTCCCTCAGTCCGGACTTTGTTTTGTTCCCCCTTGCAACACACATCCCCCAACAGAAAGTTCCTACCCCTGAATTTTACCCGACAGCAGTGTCCTTTCTGGGTGTAACCTGGTAAAGGGTGTGTAGCTCACTCAGATAATCTGATATTTATCCAATATCAAATAATTTAAAAAAAGAAGGTAGGTTTCCATTTTTAAAAATTTCAAATTGAATAAAAAGAGACCTGTTTACAAAGTTTGAAAGGTGAATAAAATAAGAGCCTCAACGCAAAGTGAGACCAGTTTTCTCTAAAATACCAAAAGTAAGTTATTGCAGAATCTAAAATGGCTTAGTAAAATAGTAATGATTCATTAGAGGGG